CACACACACACACACACACACACACACACACACACACACACACACACACACACAGGCATCCCACATGTGAAGGCAGGCAGGCTGTTGCCTTTGAAGGGGCCCGGCCTCCTCCAACTGTCCCATGCATGCTTGAGTGATGTCAGCACGGCTGTGGAAAGATTCCTTTCCTGTCACACACACACACACACACACACTTCCTTATCACACACAATCTCTTTTCACACACCAACTTGTCTTGCCTTCTTTACTACTTTCTCAAACAAATGCACACACACACACAGTTGCTTGCATAACACACACTGACTCTGACTTTCTTCCTCTCTTTTTCTGTCTTACACACAGACACACACACACACACACACACACACACCACACATAGACAGAAAGAGAGACACTCTTGGCAGGATGTGCAGGGAGAAAAAGGGGCCGAAAGACAACACCAAGATTAGGAAGCTTTTGTCACGGCTCTGTGGCAGACTTTAAAGGCCTTGGCTCCCTTCCCCTCTGCCAGATTTCTTTCTTTTCTCACCCTGTCTGTCCACCATCCCTCTCTTTTCACGGGGGGAAGGTAAACATTTGGTACACAGAGACAGAGAAAGGGAGGAAGGATGGAAGGGAGGGATGGGTGGAAGAAGGATGGAAGCCGCCTGTTGCCCCTTTTAGCCTCGTTTTTTGTGTTTTTGTATTCAAGTTTTAGTTTTAATGGCGGCTTTGTGGCTGTGTGGAGGATGAGTGGAGAGAGGGAGAGGTATGCAAACAGAACAGAGCCTCAACAATGCCAGCCAGGTGTCTGCGTTGTTCCCATCTGTGTGTGTGTGTGTGTGTGCATCTAACTTCCATGTGCACATGTTGCATATGCACTCTCAGTTGAGTGTGTATGTGTGTGTGTGTGTGTGTGTGTAGAGGTATCTTTCAGGTTCCGATGAGTAGATGTGTGCATGTCTTTTCCCCCAGGTGTGTGTCTGTGTGTTTGAGCCCTTCATGGTCACTGACTCCATTCACCTGAGCCGTCCTTTCACAGTGAAAAGGCAGTTACTGGTAAAAAAACAAAAAAAAGCTCTTTGGACAGCTTCTCTTCATCACCAACCACAGCTGCTGTTGACTCAAGCGCCCAGGAATCTCCTCCATGGGTTCACACCCTTTTAACCAGCCAACTGCACACCAGGGCCCTTCGAGAGTGAGCAAAAGGTCCTGCAAGACCTCAAGGTCCAGAGGACTAAACACTTGCTCTGGCAATGGACAGGATTTGGTCAGAATGCAGCCATCTTATTGGTCGGAGGACGGCTGCAATAGAGAGGAGCAAACCTTCACCCATTATTGTGATGCCTTACTTCCTTCAATAGTATGCTCACTGACTCACTGCAACAACTGGACTTGCAAAACCTACATTTTCTAGCCTCTAATTGCTATATGACACTAGTGATGTTGACAGAAGGTTTATGTCAGAAGAAGAACAAAACAAAACAGTGACTTTAACCCAACAAAGAGTCCATCCTCCATCTCGACAGCTCAGGAATGTCCTCACAGCCTCCTGCTCAGCCAGCCGTCATACACACTGAACCCCAAAGGCCTTCAAAACCACACACTCCAAAAGGTTAAAAGTTCCATTTCACAAAAAGTTTCAGTGAAAATGTACGACACTGACACAGACTTTCATCCTCTTTTTTTCTGTCACTATTTTTCCTTTATTAAAAAAATGTAGGAACCTATTTTACCGATCCTCTTTTGAGTTGAACAGATCTCTGCAAAACAACGAGAACATTTTTCTGACATGATATCTCCATTGACTGAATATGTAATATGTACTAAACCATCAACATCCCACTGGAACTCTAGTGTGAAAGAGGCTTATCAGATCAAAAAATATGAAGGTTAAACTAAATAAATGTCTGTATTTGAACCAAAACAGCCCCCAGAATGCATTTCAATTCTGTAGAATAAAGCGACAGTGACTTTTCACACAACAGGATTGATGTGGATCTCAAGAGCTCAAGATTCACCTTTAAGACTGAACAGTTTGAGGATTTCTGTGATGGATTCACACCCATTTACATCGTCACATAGAATCCTGAAAAGACAGTGTATATGTTTTCATTCACTGCTGTTTGCATTAATCTTTTATACTTAACAGAACCTCATATATACTATATAGAGTCTTGTTGGTTCTTATCCTTCAGGTTTTCTTCAAATTACCATCAAACCTCCATTACCTTTACGTTATAAATAAGAAATGCAAACTCAGGAGTTTTGATGCCACAAGACAAAGTCATAAAGTTTCCTGATTCACACAACCGATTTCATTAAACTCACTCAACCGTACTTTAAAATCTCAGTGGACAAATTGAAACACTTCACTTAAAATGGGTTTATATTGATATATAAAATAAAAGCTGCAGTTCTGAATAGTTGTAAATGTCCTCTTTAAACAGCGTGTCCTGTGAAGAGCAGAACACACTTTATAATCAAATAACACACCTTGTGACATTACACTCAGGTTTCCTTGTGGATTGGTCCACAATGTCATTTATTATTGTTTTCTAACTCATTTGGATGGTCGCTTGAGACTTCATGAATGTTTTAGGAGGATAATCGCTGCTTGTTTGTGTAACAGGACACATGGCCTGATATTTCACGTGTTTATTGACATTTCTACTGCGTGTTGACTTGTGGGCTTTGACCTCGAGGGAAAACGTATGATCTCAATGAGACTCTCGCCTGGTTAAACAAAGGTGATAGAGAAACACAGTGTGCTAAATGAAATGAAAGTTACTGCATTGTTAGATTATTTAAAAGATTGTTATTTATTCCGAGAAAGAAAAAAAGAAAGAAAAATCAATAAATAATGAATTTCATCCAAGGATCCAAATGACAAATGAAGAAGTTATCGGGCCTCTGTGACGTTTTCTCCTCCGTTCCTGTTTCTGCACATCTCTTTCCCGTTTCATTCAACACTTCCACACTCTTCACTGATCTCCTCTCCATTTTCTCATCACATCTGTCAGCGGCTCAGCTCTGTGTCATCCTCCTCCTCCCTGCTTCTCTTCATCTTTTCCTCCTCTGACTGTCCTCCTCCCCCTCGACTCTTCAAGTCAATCAAATTCACATGGGAAACAGAAGAAAGCAGGAGAATCAGGCTATAATCTTTGAGATAAGGAAAGAATGAAAGTCTGATGCCAAGGATGGAAACAAATAGGGAAAGTCACGTATTTGCCTCGTACAGTTTCTTTTATCTGGACAGTTTTCACTCACACAAACACAAATGTAGTACGTCTGTCACAGCTTTAAATCCTACACAACCTCTGCTATTTGTTTATCACCAGTGAAGCTTACCAGATGTAAGGAAATCCAGCGGATCCAGGATTTGTAAATCCCTGGGTTATATCATGTAGTCATGAGTAACTGTTGACTTTGCAACAACATCAAAACCACAAATTCCTGTGAGGGATTTCACTCCTCTGAATTTATTCAGGGTTTCTTTTCTCAAACTTATTTTCCTTCCCCCAGGCTCATAAACCCCTGATTTCAACCTTCAACTTTACAATCCACAACGTTTTTAAACAGTGTTTCCATATTAATGATCCTATGTCGGTCAAAACATCCAATACATGAGGGGGGGAAAGGGTCCGGTCCGTTGTATGTGATGTCCGATTCAATTTAAATGAAAAGTGGGGAAACAAGGCAAAGAAATTGAAAAGAGAAGTGGAGAAGTTTAATTTAGCTCCTAAATAACTCTTTTAACAGACTTTTAATCTAACGGTCTTTTACTTTTTTGTTCTGAAAAGTGATGTTTAAATAAAGCTATACGCCATTGCCATCTAAAATAATGCCTGCAGCCACCCATCATTTACTGAATCCAGCGTTTTAGCATCTTTCTGTGCATTGTTTTCAGTATATTTCCTGCAACTTTACTGTTTTGGGTTAACCCTGTTTCCAGACGCTCCAGCCCCAAATGTTGGCTCAAAGGCCCTGAAACGTTCAGGTTTTTAAAATACCGTCAACTTTGTGTCATCTGCTCTCAGTCTCTCTGACTGGACCGTCAAGTCAAGATCAGACAGTAAGCGAGTAGCTGGAACATTTAGCAGCTAAAGAGTCGGATATGTTCCTCACACGTTGGTGGAAATCGAGCACATTTGAGCACAGACTCGACTCCTAAATAGGCAACTGTTTTTTTAGCCACATCAACTTTTTAATAAAATGTATGTATTGCTCTTTTTGTGTTTACAGCTTGTTCTGCTGCCCCCAAGTGGCCCAAAAAAAAGTAATTAAAACTGCTTTAACGTGTTTGTTGGAGGTCAAAGAGCCAAGTCAGAAGTAAAGATGATGCCTGCGCTGACAGCCACAACTGCTCAACAGACCAACTCTAGCACCACCTACCACTTCATCAAGTCGAAGGACTGGAAAGGTGCATGTAACATGTTGCTAAAAGCCTGGAGACTCTGCAGAGTACTGCTTTAAGCTGTTTATTATCATCTTATTCTGCTCCCTTGTCCTGCCCCGTGTCCACCTCCACCCTGTTTGCAGTGCCCCGTCCTTTCAGCAGGCTTTTCTTTCACCGTCTTCTTTCCCTAAATGAGTCAGAGGGGCAGAGCGAGATGCTGGGCCTTCACACCCTCCGTCTGCACACACCGCTCGTCCATCCGTCATCCCTCCAGATGGACATGTTGACAGATGAATCGCCGGCTGCAGTTCTCACAATCGAAGGGCTGCAACTATTTAGAGGGCACTCACTTAAAAACATTCCCACGGCACTGAGAGGTATATTGTACTGGACTGGAATGTCTTTCTGTGATGCGTCAGAAACAGGCAGAAAATTGATTGATAGATACTCAGGAATAAATATCTTGTCTTGCAAATACTGTTAAAATGCCCCGTCCTGCTTTGATTAGATTCAACCTTTAAGAACAAAGACTGTAACGTGTAGATTTAACTTTTTTAATGGCACCAATAAAATGATTACAATGGGAAAAACAACATTTTTAACCTAAATGACAATAGACTGTACAAGATTGTCGATACAAAGATTATCGATAAAATTTCGTATATTCCGTCCGTACGTATAAATACAGTATCTTACAATGACATGAACATGGTATTTGCTACATAGCTTATTACTTATATAACACAAAATCCACTCATGCAGTATAATGCCCAATTATATGAAAATAAATCACGTTTAAAAGAAAATAAATTAGAAACACAATTTATTTTTTGAATCTTGAGACAATTTAGTATTGATAATGTTTAGAGGGCCAATGTGTTGCTCGAGCTACTGTTTGGACCTAAACAGTCTAAATGATCTAACGCTGACTATATTTTCAACACTAATGTGGTTCCATGCACATGCTAGTGGTGATACACAGTCTACTGGCAGTCGATTAGCTTTGACACAATAAAACTACGCTGGGTTCCACTTGTAAAACAGGTGAAAAAAAGAGAACTGAAAGGCAACGACAGTTTTCACAGAAAAACACAGCGCTGGTTGAGGAAAGTGTAACTGCTCGGAAACTTTTCCACAACTCCAACATTAGAAGCAAAAATGAAAAACAATAGGACACACTCCAGCTGTTCAGGGCGACTTCGACAGATGTTTCAAAACAGAAAAGATGGGAGGACAAGAAAAACATGTCAGAGGGAAAGCTACTAATGCCACATTTCAAGACCTATATTCATATCGTTTCTGGCGAGGAAATCATTTTTGATATATGTTATTCTTTGTGATCTGATGTATTTTTATACTGTATGTATTTGAATTGTTGTACAGGAAAGAACAAGGTCACAGGCTGTTGTTGTGGGTTTGAGATGCACATGTTAGTTGAATATGTCTCTGTGTGTGTGTGTGAGTGTGTGTGTGTGTGTGGCTCATCTGATCTGAAGGGGGCATGTTTTATAGGCTGCACCTTATTAAAAGTCTCCTCATTCAGAAAGTGAAATAATACAAAGAACTTGACGGGTTTGAAACAAAATAAAAATGATGCAAAATATGCAATGACAGAAAGTTTGGGAAGGCTTGAATAGTAGTTGTGCATAGAGGAAGTATCCATATGTATATTCCCGTGCATTTTCCTACTTGAGTTTAAACATTTATGAGCAACAACCCATGCTTAAGAACGACCACATGTGCAACTTAAGTTACCAGGTGATTTCAATATATCACTTCCTGTCACATGCTTGTTAAAACACACACTTGTAAAGTTCTCACTGTTGTGTTTCGTCCCGTCGAAGGTCTGCATAGAGAAACACTTGTGCAATCGACGGCTTGACGAGCCAACGGTTTCTTTCATATTTGCGATCTTTTTATGTTTTATATATCTCTGGAGGGAGTCGCCCCACTGTTTCAACCATTATGTTACGTCACATGGCGTGAGAGTGCTGTAATGTTAAACAGCTGATCTTTCGTTTCTATATAGTGGTTCGATTCATGCGCACAAAGGAAGAACAAGATGGACGCCTGAGAGAAGGTCAGTTGTGACTGGCTTTCAACTGAAACAGTTTGTTGGGGCAGATTTCCAATTAGGTTTGATTCGTCTACCAGGAGAAGTGAAACCGCAGTGATTCAACGACAGAACTACTAACGGATCATTCAAATACATGAACAAACCAGGTAACAAGAGAAGGTGGGAATCAGTATGTCTCCAAAACCCAGCAGACTATGACACTATAAAAAACAATATACTCTATTTCACCAGTTTTGCAGATGATTTGATGCTTTAGTTGTTGCATTTTTATAAGTAATCTTTAGATTTTAGTGCGAGTGGAAACACATTTTAAAGGCTAAAAACTTGATCATCATGATCTTTGAGGTTTTGTGGATCCCTCATACCTTTTGGTTGTGGGTCTTATAACCACCTAGCACCGCTGACCATAACTTCATATCCACTCTCTCCAGCTGGCGCTTATGTTGGCTTTGAAACCGGCTTTCTCCAGGATCATTTATACAGTCTACTAATTGCTTCACTCATAACAGCTGCAGGTGACCTCCCTGTTTACAAATCAAAGGCTCTGAACACCCACACAGGTGTTTTCACTTAATCTGGCTGATTGGACCTCTGCTCAGGATGAAGCCAGGAGGAGCGATGCTGGGAAGTCGACCAAACCCAATGATTTAATAAGAACTGTGAACGTTTCAGTTGCCCCATTCTAATAGATGCAACAAAACTAGTGAGAGTAAAGGAAATATGAATCGAAAACACATGTGAGGGCTTTGAAATGGCATTAACATGAGACCAAACTGTAATCACATACAGCGAACATGCTTAAAATCCATCTCATTATTTAAAACATCTCTTTAGGTTGTCAATAGAATTAGTAGGAAATCTGCCGATGAGTGAATTAAAACATTCAGATTTAAATAACCCGGACATATCTTTGTATATATCAAGTGATTATTCTAATCTTTTGTCATTATACAGCACTGAGAACAGTTGATGTACTTGTAGCTGGTCAGCAGGTACTGGTGTAGTAATTAACATCACTTTTTGTAGAATATACGTCTCTAAATGTTTGTGATACCGATATCTGTGTCAGTTTAAAGCTTTTACCTTTTCAGCATCTAAAATGTTTTGATGCAGCATCTTCCAGTTTCCTGATCCGGCTGACAGAAAGCTCTGCAGGTGAGAAGGCAGCCCTTAATCCAAACCTTTACCTCTTTAGGTAAAAGCTCCAGACAGCAGATGAGTCCCTCTGCTTCGTACCAAACCGTGTGTGGAGAACAGAGCCTTAGGTCGTATCGTGCAGCGCTTTCGGAAGAAGACTTGAGGACTTAAAGTCAAAGAGTTTAAGATGAAATTCCTCTCTTTTATGTCCTCTAAATCTCACAAGAGATTAACAAGTATCTGTGACATATCCAATGATCCGACAGTGATTCATGGAATCTGGAAACAATTCTTAGAAGGCACCGCTTTACACCGAGGCATTGTTGATGATCCCTTTGCGCTGTTTGCTTAAGAGGTTGAACGTATGACATGGAGGAGAACTGACATCCTCCGTCTCTCTCTTCTTAAGTCAGCGAGCATCAAACAAAGTCGAAAAGGCGAGAACGTGAAACAGGAAATGACACCTTTTTCTCCAGGAAGTAAAAAAGGGCACAAGCTGTACTCGGTCTGGAGGATCTCCTCGTTTGTAGCAGAAATCGCACCGTAGCTGCTTCACTAATCAATCTACGGAGAGAGATCCTTGCAGTCTGAACTCAGTAGCCCAGTATGACATCACACAGTACCCAGATAGCAGCTGGACATTTATCAGAACGGCTGGCGGCCCGGCAGAAGCAAACAGCCAGCAGCCTTCATCCTTTGCAGAGGGTGTGTGGATACTGTTTGCCTTGATTTGTGGTTTTTTTATGGCTCAGTTGGGCTGATGCCTGAGATATACTCTGAACTGAAGCTATTACATTACATACATACATGCTATATTTCTCTTAATAGATCACCCAGGATGAAGTAGCGTGCTGAATGCCATATAATCGTATTCCACTATATACATGAGTAGCTATAGTTGGAGCCTTTGTAGCGAAGGCTATTTGTACTGTTACTGAGGAGGTTGTGGTTGTGTCCAAAGTACTAAAAGAAGAGTTTGAGCAAAAAAAAAAAAGGACAGAAAAGATTTTGTCTTCCAAAAAAGCTTTGAATAAAACATGTTTTGGGGTTTTTCTCTCATAGATTTCACTGGATCGGCTTCCAGATTTGCCTAAAAATAAGAATCTTTGTCTTCTTTCTTTACATTCTTCATTGAATAAGTCTGTGTTCACACAATAACGAGGCTGCGGCAGAATGAGGAAGAGTTGGGTGACCCCGTGTTTCTGGATATGAATCCGCGCGGTCTCTCGCGTTTGTCAGCAGCTTGTATGGACTGTTGTGAATGAGTCTGCATGCACCAAGGCGCGCTAACACTGGTAGTGAATGTGCTGGTGCTGGTGCACTTTCCCGTCCACGTGCGAATGCGTGTGCGTGTGTATGTCCGTGTAGATCTTCGGGTAGACCTTGGGAGCCAACGCAGCGCCTCCCTGAGCCAGGAGCAGCTGCTGATGGGCGACGTAGTCCTCGTATGAGAGACAATCTTTATCCCCGTTGGCCGGCTGAGGAGGCAGCGTCGGGCCGACTCGGTCGCGATTGGCCGCGGGCAGACGCTGCGCAGCGGGAAGAGCGGAGGAGGACGAAGAGGAGGAGGAGCAGTTGCGTTTTGATTGGCAGAACCAGAGGAGGACGGTGCCTAAGATGAAGGCGATAACTGCGGGTATCCCAATAATGACGGGCCAGGGGAGGCTCGGGGACGTTGGCGTGGGGACAGCGTTGATTTGGGGCTTCAGATCTGCGAAGAGAGGAGGAGAAAGTAAGAACAGAAAATGACTGAAATAAGATGCAGTTAGCTGGTTGTTGTAAGCTAGCATGTTACCAGCTGGTCAAATTAGGAATAACTTTTTTCGTAAAATGAACCGTTGTATGAGAATATGTTGAACAACCTCAACTATGATGACTTCAGGAAAAGCTAGTTTGGTAAATGGTATCAGCAACAAAAGTATTTTTTCAAATCAAACCTGCTGGTCAAGTATCTTCCTCTCCAGTATATCACACCAGAGAATTACGTATAATTACTACAGCTCCCTATGCGTGCATGTTAGCTTCCTCTGACCTGGTAGCACAGTCAGGTAGGCGCTCCTGAAGCTGTAGCCCATAGTATTGGCTCCCAGGCAGATGTACATGCCGGCATCCTCCTCCTTGGCTCTGGTTATCAGCAGCTTGTTGAGGTAGGATCCGTCAGGACGAGACCACACCTCCCCTGTAGGCAGGACCACAAAGCGATGGTCTCCAACCTTTAAATAAAACCATACCAAGTGCAATATTAATGATCGGTTCGGTCAATTCGCCTCGGAAAAAAATACGTTAAGATGCAGCTGTGCATGTGTTTGTACCTCTATGGTGGAGTTAAACTTGTTCTCGTCACCAGGTTCGACTCTTTTCAGCCACTGAATAACCGGCTTGACGTCACTGCGGACTTTACACTGGAAAGACGTGGTTCCTCCGTAGTCCACCGTGGTGTTCACAGGGTGAGTGCCAGTCAGAATGGGTTTAGAGTTGGTACGCTCTGAAGAAAGTGACACATACACGGACAGTATATTTAATATCAAATTCCATTTCAGTTGACAAAGTGTGAACAGAAGAAATTGTTGTATTTTGTCAAATTCAGCTGTAATCAGAAACTCTGAACTCTTTTTGTTCAATTTATTTGAACTGAATGAAACTACACAACCCTGTGACCATATAACATGTTTTCCAAGCATTGTTTGAACAGTATCTGCTGCATTCAGCACCACATCCTCCCTCTCTGCTCTAGAAACACAAACAGATGCCTTATCTTCAGCTCCTGCCCTTTCTTCCTCAGTTTATACAGCAGAATAAACACACCTGCCACCGACATTCAATAGTCTCCTTCTTAGTATCTGCTAATACGATCTCACGAGAACGTAACCCGAGATAAGAGCAGGTGTATGTTTTTACTGAAGAACTATGCTTAAGACACTTTGCAGTGCTGGCTTCCTTTTCTTTGTTTCCAATGCATTTGTGGTGTTATGGAAAGGGTTGCACTGTTTTTTGTTCTCCTGAGAGCTCACGGTGCTTTATGTAAATGACGAAACCTTGAAAAAATGTTGCCGTCACATCATGTTCTAAAGACATCTGGTAAGCTGACTGCTAACAATGAAATGCAAAGAAACCACACATGCAAACAACACGGCCAGAACTCAGCTAACATCTAAATAGAAAAGCACAAAAAGCAAATAAATAAATGCATTTAATGTATGTCGTAATTATTGGAATCCCAGAGGGATGCTTCGAGTGCTTGTCAAGCAAGTGCAAACCCATGTCCACTTGATAAATGATCATATTCAGGAATTACAGTATGTCCATGATGTACTGCACTCTGGTATCTCTACTTATAAATTATGTTTTGTGAGAGGTCTACTTTTTTCTTCAAGTTCTCTCTCTAACAGTTGTGAATGACTGACAGCCGGGTGAATCTCTACTGATAGAGAAAATGTCACATTGGACAGACGCGAGCAGCGGTTGGATTTACTTCCTTTCTGTTTGTGTCTCTCAGGAAAGACTACAGCTGTACTTTAATGTACCACAGATGTGGAGAGTAAACGAGAACGGAGCTGGTCTGAGGCTCTCAACACATATATTTCAGTGCACACACACACACACACACACACACAAATGCAACTCTACCAAACAGCTTAACGTTAAATCATCCAGCGTCAAAACAGCTTTTGCAGCCGTCCAACACAACCTAATACCTCACAAAACACTCACAAATCATCGCGGCACACATTCAGCTCTCAACAGAGAGAAATCAACCCTTTTTTAGACAGCAAGCGCAGCTGGTTCACTCTACAAACTGGAAAAATTCCTCGCTCGCTCGACTGCTGTTTGCCGACGAGCCTGGTGGTGATCAATAAATGCCACTGAAGTGAAAGTTATTCAGGACTTCTATACTTGGTGCAACTCATTAGAGCAGCACACTGGTGCACGAGGGCACCGTGGCTCTACTTTGCAACCAACAATACCTTAAAAGACTTTACTTAATCTATAGCATTAAAAACTAAAAAATGGACATTCACGTTTTGATTACTTCACTCTTTGTCAGCAAATCATTTCTTATAGTTGAAAAGTGAATCATGGTGTCCTAGATCATCCGATCTTAGACATTCTACACAATCACTGTATTGTGAGTCAGAATGGAAACCCATTTCAAACCCTACAGGTCTCTCAGTCAAACAATAAAACACATACTGTGTACAACACAATGCGTGTTATTGTTTTCGTGAGACACATTCCTGCTGGTGTATCATATATCCGCACCACAACTCCAAAAATGTGCTTTCTGATGTGTCACAACGTGAAATCAGCACATGCAGCCATGTTTGCACATAGATTAAAGCTTTGTACCGGAACATGTTTTGGATGTTAAATCCCTTAAACGTTTGAGTGGATTATTCAATGGATAATAAATAGTCTTTAATTATGGCACCATCAGGCAAAATTGCCAAATATTTGCTTTTTTCAGCAGCTTAAATTTGAGGATTTCCGTCTTTTCTACGTTTTGTTTTGGACTGTTTAAACAAGAAATTTAACAATGTTGCTCCAATGTCAAGCAGTTCACCAATTTCTGATTATATACTAATTGAAAAAAATGAAGGATTATGAAAATTGTTTATAGTTGCGGGCTTGCCTAAGAGTAGCTTGAAAACGTTGCCTCTTCGTACCAATACAAGAAGTCCAACACAAACTGGGTCAGAGAGACAACATACGGATGATGGTGGAAAAAACATTTAATAAGCGATCTCTATCTTTGAGTTTGAGCGTCCAGTTGCATGGTAACTCACGTATGACTTCCACTTTGTAGGTGGCGTTGATCTCTCCTGCTCTGTTGGACACGTGGCAGGTGTACTTCCCGCTGTGCTTCGGCATCAGGTTCTTCAGACTCAGGGTCCACTTCTTCTTCTTCCCTTCCCCTTCTCTTCCCGCTCCAGCGTCCTCGTCCACCAGCGGCCGGCTGTCCTTCAGCCAGACGATGTCGGGTCGAGGGTTCCCGCTCGCCATACACTTCAGACGCACTGAGCTGCCCACTGGGCGAGCGATGACGCGCTTCCTCATCTTTGACGGCTGAGTGAAACGTGGACGCACTGCGAGGGGAGAGAGGGAGAATTGAAACTGTAAATAGAGAAAGAGATCTACTGCTGATATTGGCTGCCTGTGGAATATGCATGCATAGTGTAAAGTTATGTAGATAATTATCACACAAAAACTTTCTTTCTCAGTCGGCTGCAGATGGGAACAAAAGGAAAGGAGTGAACCAAAGAAGTTATGAGTGGAGGTTTACAAAGCAGTTTTATTTTTACAAGCTGTGTTCTGTTCTTCAAACCGGGGGAAAGAGAGCAGATCGGTAAAGATGGTGGAACTCATCAAAGATTCCTATATGAGACTTTTATGAGACGTAAAGAGCGATCAAAGGCATGTTATCTGAAGGGGCCGCTGCACAAAGGGAGCATTCAGAGATGACTACACACCATGAAATCAATTTTATTTGAAGTTAATAATAATCTGGCATCTTCTACACACAAGTACATTCATGGCTGGTGTGAAAAGACGTCCTTGAGTCAACATTCAGACATCTGTTTCTGCAAACTTTTTAAACAAGAACGATGGAATTAGGGACAAATTGCTTCATCTCAGTCTGCAGAGAAAATTGCTAACTTGTTAGATGGGCATTTCTTTATGCAGTGTAAGGAGCGTCAGACGGGCTGAGGTCATCGTAACAGGCAGAGCCAAGAATTCCATGTTGTGCAGTAACAACACATGGCAGCGTGCCTCTCGCTATATACAAGCTAATTTGCTGTAATACACATAATTGTTTGTTTAAGAAAAATGTTTAAATCACTTCCTTTCTTCCCTGACACAAAAGACTGACTCACATGACCGGGAACCTGCCCACACACGCCCACCCCCACACACACACCAGATTCCTTATTTTACATGGATCCAGCACCTCTGGCCTCAGGGTTGTTAAAAAAAAGCCATCTAGACAGCAATGTAACGTCACTGTAAATATCCGGTCATGAATGCACATCTGTGCACAAGTCATAAAAAGCCAGACAGCGACTTAGCATCACACCAAACATCCATTCATTCATGCAAATCCTTCCTCACAAAACATTAAATGGACAGTTAACCACAGACACCTATTCAAACACCCACATCCCTCCATGTAGTTGCATGACTTAACCCCATCCCGCCATTCAAAGATACGTTCTCCAAAACAAGTCCCATCTGATCTCAGGCTGTCCTCGACCGACGAAATAGTTGGTCGACAAACATTCATTCATTCAAAAAGACTAGAGATGACCGATTAGTCGACTAATTGACTTAGAGGGCCCTAATCTATTCACACACATATATCTCGCTTTAAAATACACAACAATCAGCGAGCAGTGAACGCAGATCAAAGAGGGAAAAAAAACAACTATCCAGTAGGGAGGGAGGAGAGGAAATCATTCACAGGAGCGCTTGATTTTTACAGCCCTCACGTTCTGGCCACAGCAGATAGCCATCAACCGGGGCGATAAATCTCCCTGAAACTACTGCAGTTGCGCCTCTTTCTTTGGACACGGTTATTATTCCAGCTCTGGGTAAACAAACGAGGAGGAGAGTTATGTGACGTGGGGATTTCACTGCGGCTACATTACTAGGTGGAATAAAGTTTTCTCCAGACCGGCAGGAAGCTGGACAGGAAGACAGAACAAACACCCCCCCCCCCCCCCCCCCCCCCCCCCCCCCGCTACTACAGCTGAACTGTGACCGGACTGAGTCATTACATGTAACAGAAAGTGGAGGATAAATAGAAGACAGTGATTAATACTTTAATGTTTTGGCAATGTCCTTCTTTGATGATTACATGAATTCAGTTGGATGGCTTAGGCTGAAACCAATGGAGAAGAGGAGCCAAAGCAAAGTGCAGCTGAACTCTTTTGGCTAAAGATGAGACTGGAGAAGCAACCAAATACAGCAAAGTGCAACTGAAATGAACTGATTTATACTGTTGAAGCTGAACCAAATCAAACAGAAGTTAAGGAGAAAACAGATGGAAAGAGAAGGAGAGAAGTTCAACTCGAGGTTAACTCGCACAGACTGACAGATTGCTAAAAAGAGACAAATAAAACTGGAGTGACGGCGAAGACATTGAGAACAAAGAGAGGGAGAGATGGAGTTAAAACAATAAAAAAAGAAAAGGTAAGGGAGAAGGCACACGAAGAGGAAGAATGAAAGAAAAACACAGCGAGAATGCGAAGTGAGAGAGCGGCGACAGAGAGAGGGAAGAGGCGAGAAGGTGAGAGCCAGAACGGGCGAAAGGGCATACTTGTTCTGGGTCTCAGGGGCCACTTCAACGCCACACTTCACAGTGTAAAAATACTGCTGACCCTCCGACGGACCGCCTTTGATCAGAGAGTGTGTCAGAGACAGACAGAGGGACAGAGAGTGTGTGTGAGGGAGAGAGAGCCTCGTGGTTTACTAGTTCCAATTCTCAGATGCGGCGATTTTTGCTAAATGTATAATTTTGGTGAATTTTGACAGGATTAGTTTAGATTTGGGTTTAGGGTTAACATTAGTATTAGAATTAAATTTCTCTTTACACATTTTTTTCTGAGAGTTAGATGAAAATATTGATACCACTTTCAACGTCTGCATTAAGTATGGCAGATTGAGAGAGTTAGCCTAGCTTAGGTGACCGTGGCTCACTGGCTTAAGAGGGTTGTCTGGTAACCGCAGGGTCAACGGTTTGATCCTTGACTGGGACGTGCCACGTGTTGAAGTGTCCCTGAGCAAGACACTGAACCCCCGGCTCCCCGGGCACACAGGGATGGATCAAATGCAGAGGTCGTGTATGTGTATATGACAATAAAAAGGATTTCTATTTCATAAAGACTGGAAGCGGGGGAGAAAAGCTAGCCTGGTTTTCTCCAACGTTAACAAAATACGAATGCTAAGCTAACTGGCTCCAGGTTGAAGCTCCACACATAGCTCACAGGTTGTATATGTGGTATTGCTTTTCTTATCTTGCTCTCGGAGAGAAATTGAATAAGCATATTTTCCCTAATTCCTTTTAAACAAGGTTGAGTTTGTACAAAGTTTGTGATGATTTATCAGTATGTTTATCGATGAAATACAATCTGTGATGTCCAGTTGGAGCAAGTTAATGTGTTAAAATGTTTATCAAACACCTAAACACTGCACAACGGTATGAAACGCAGGATTTAAAACACTATCACTGAGACATGGATCACATGGTAAACAGCAGAAACACACTGTCATCGCCGGAGAGGCCTCGTTCGAATAAATAAGGGCGCTAAAGCTGGTTTGAACGCTGCCTGAGCTCAAGCTGTGAGTGTCTGCGTTTGGTTGTGTGTGAGCAGAAAGAGGCAAATAAATAAAGATAAAGAATGTGTGTGAGAAAGCAAAGAGAGTAAACGTTTGTTGACATTTTAGTGTGAGTGAGTGAGAGCCTTTCTGACGGAGAGAAAGAGAGGAAGAACTGGAAGAGTTGGGGATGAGGATAACAAAAAGCAAAGAAAGGAGGGTTAAGTTACATGGCGGGGTGACCGGCGAGACTTTGGGGGGGAGGAGGAGGAAAGAATGTGTCCCACCAAATCACACCTCACACAAATAGACTGCTCTCCACTCTGTCAGAGCCAATTATCTCAGCAAACAAACACCCTGATGTGTGTCTGTGTGTGGGCCACAGTGTGCAAGGTGTTTATTGCACAATCTGCTACTGTGCTTTTTAAAGTGTTACACACTGCCAGCTATCTGAAGTGTCCCTCCTGGGCCTCCTTCTCATTTTCAAATGTTTATACGCGTGCAGTGCAGTGATGAGATGAGAGACGTTGCGAGCGGTTACCCAGTTTTCCGGCCAGCTCCGGGCCGTGTTCAGAGTCTCCATTGGCCGTCCCGGCTCCACCTCTTAAACTGGAGTCATCTGGTGAGGGAGAGAGGAAGCATCGTTAAGTGAAGTGACAACCTGTGAATAGTTGATATACTATACAAAGAGACCTGATGCAACAAACTCCAACCATCAGACAAATACAAATGTGAATTTGTACTTTCAATGGTCGATGCTGAATTGTCTTGATGAAGTCATGATTTCTACACCCACTTGTTGCTCCAGTAAAATAAACATTAATCTTGTGCACAAAGCTCAGCTGGGTCTCTGTGCTACAAACTAAAAAAAAAGAAAAAGAGACGTGGACTGTATGCGAGTTAGGATGGATTAGCAGGAGGAGTTTGTCTGTCTTCTATCAGCATCTGACAGCTGTTTCATAAGATGCAGCTGTTTCAGCATGGGGTCATGAGGTGTGATGGTTTGTTCATACACACATGAATTCTAAGATTTCAGTGATACATTGGTCTGCCCTCTCAAATTGGATGCAGATTGTTACCATTTAAGGAGGTAGAAAGCAGAAGCATCCCTGTCATCACTTTAAAAACAACAGTTTTTGTTAAGGTAAAAAGTAGAGAGAAGTATCAGGTGAAAAAGACTGTCCGCATCACTAAAAGTCAAAGATATTAAAAAATGACAACGTTATAGTACACACCTGGTTTGCAGGTAAAATGTGGTGGAAAAGGTGAGACTGAGGTGTTACAACTCACTGGAAAAAATCACCTCTGGCTTTCAAAAACGTACTTTCCCTCCAGCTGCACTCTGCCCTCAACGAGCCACCATTCATTTCAAATGTCTTGTCCAACCAGAAAACCAAACGACAAACAACATGATGTATGTCTGTCCTCTAGTGTCCCTCTGCCAGAGACTTGTTGCTGCTGCAGCTCACTGGTGATGAAAGCTGTGAAATGAACACTCCAAGTCCCCCTACATGCCTCTACCCTCAACTCTAAAATGACTCCTTCCTGACTCCGTGACACTGAGAAAGCAAGATCATCAATTTGTGCCCTAAACATCTTACATTTTTCCCAAAGATGATCGTATGAGAAAATTCTCTTTTGAATTCCTCCCTACTGTATGTGCCTATATCATATTCCACGGTATCATATTGCTTTTACTCTAACGCTGGTGTATCGGTTTCCCTCCCTCAACATGTCTTCCCAAATTGATTATCAAAAAGATACAAACATCTGTCCGAGCCTTCACGCTACGGAGCGCTTCAAGATGGAGCCAATGTATCCGAGGGGCCCTTTAACAGAGGAGGTGGGGAGGGAGGAGGGCTGATACAGAGCAATATGAGGTCTGTCAAAATATGTGAGGGGGGGGGGGGTAACTTGGCTTGAACCTGAAACTTCAACCAAAGCCTGATGGTAGTTATGGAAAGAAAGAAAAAACGAGATCCAAACAGCCTCGGACCACCTGCGGTAAATACGTGAGAGTGCGTGATTGTAAAGGAATACGTTCATCTTGCATGTTGGTACAAATACGGATCCGCGAGTAGATTTTCGAAGACCACCTGAAAGCTCAGCGTTTAATGCAGCGCCAGATGTCTTCAGAGCATCACTATTTTGGATGATGGGAGCGAAAGACGCATTTGAAATGCAAATACGAGGCACAACCTGCATCCTCGGGGCTGGTATTAATAGCACACAGGCAGGCCGCCCTGTGCGTGTGCACGTGAGAGTGTGATATGAATTCCTGTAGGGGCGTGTCGGTGCAAATGTGGGTGCATGCGTTATTTAACTAAGTGGTAACTTGAGGTGCGGGTATTCCCGTTGCACCTCACTCCTTCCTCCCTCCCTCCCGCCACATGCACGGCGTGTTCTGAGAAAGGGCATCGCGTTTGAAGCCCAGCGGCACGGGGGTCTGATCTAAAGGGGGGAACACGGTTTAGCACTCTTAACAGCTAGCGGGCCCTCCCCCAGGCCTGGTGCGAGCCTGTAAACCTTACTTGGCAGACCTCCTACGGACCCTCTCACAGAGGGGGGGCTGGACCGCTTCCACTGTCGATACAGTGCAGCCGTGCATCCAAGTCATCAAAGTATTACCAAAATTCAAAACATGTCCATGTACAGCAGCTGTATATTATGATGCTGATGCAGAGACACATCAGAAACCGACAAGAGAAAATCCACTAACTTGTTCAGAGGGAAAACTGAATGTGCGTGGTCTTATTAACACCATTGTCTTGAACATAACTTATCATAAATATCTATATATCCACAGCATGCTCTTTTACAACTGTCTAGTCTTCTACAGAGTCAAACTGTAACAGTATTTTTCAAACCCTGCAAATCACAAGACTGATGTTAGACATCCTGGCTTCAGAAACAGTTCCTGACAGCAGAGTCAGTTTTACACCTTTCTTTAGGTCTGTTATACGAGTGCAAAGATATTTTTTTGGGGGGGAACGGACTTAATGTTTCACTGTTTGGTTCAAGCTGAACACACACAGAGTAGAAAACATATTCCCTCCCTGCTTCAGGTGTTTTCAATAAACAAAATGTTTTCTTCTGATCCCGTTCCACCTTCTAATGTTTGGCCAGATACTTTGGCTGGTGATTACAACAACTAATACACACACACACACACACACACACACACACGTACACACGCAGGCAAGTATAAGCAAGCGTTTTCAGAGTATCAATAACCGATAAGATAATGGCAGCTATATACTTAAAAAATTCCGGGCCGATGCCAAGAATCAGTGTCAGGGCTGATTGGCTAAAATAAAGTCGATCACAATTGAATCCGTTCTTCACCGTACTGTGTTTTGTCCACCTGAGCTTGCTAGTGTTGCACCACTGCTCTATTTCTCACCACAGTGCAGCATTTGGCTGCAAATGCGAATGAAAATGAAGTGTGTGTGAATGTGAAAATGTATTTGGGCGCAACGGTGATCGACTCTGAGTTTGGACACTGAGGTTACACAGATTCGCTAATTATCATCAGCAAAGAGCAGTGGACAAAGCATTCAAGTAGCTGCTTCTCATTTTTAGGCTGTTATCTCAGCCAAAGATTGTTTGTGCGGGAAGAAGCACCACTCACACCCTGCTTCACCACTGCTCAACCGCAAGTGGAGTGTTTCTGTAGTTCCAACAAATCCCACAGAGTTTCAGGAGTCACATCCTCCCACTTTATCGTTCATTCATACAAAACCAATACTTTGATACCAGGACCTTCAGTGTTTGGATCAAGTAGCTTGTGGGAAATAAGGCGTGTCAGATAGAAGTAAGCAACAGCTGTTATTTCAATGTGTCAGATACATATTTAATAAGTCCTCATTGGACTCGGCATCGGCAGCCACCCAATATTAAAAAGATTTGGATCAGGGCCAAAAGAACGTTTACTATGAGCTTTTGGACCACATGTTTCTGATTAATGTTCATCTTGTCTCGTCCCAGATGTATCTCTTTGAAGTTGTAGTCGCACAAGATGTGAGAGGATATCTACCTACATGTGAAGACACCAGATGTCCCCCCAAAGTCCAGTTAAGGTAAATAACCTGGCATTTAAATAGCGCCTTTCTAGACTTCCAACAACTCAAATCGCTTTACACCATTCACACACATTCATGCAATGATGGCACAGGCTGAGGTAAAAGGTGCCATCCAAACTGATGCTCATTCACACACACAACGACGGCACGGCCTTCGGGAACAGTTGAGGAGCCGGGGGATCGAACCGCCGATGTTCTGATATGTGGACGACCTGCTGTCCTTTTTTTTCAATTTTCAAAACAGTGTTTAAAACACATCTTTCATAATTCCCTTCTTTTGTCACTAATGAGTTTTGTATTTCTCTTATTGGAACCTTCACTCCCTCTCTGCTCACACGTGTGCTTTCCGTTTAATTTTTCTGCCTATTTTCTACTTTTCATTCCGCTCTCTTTTCATCTGCAGGGAGGGGGGGGGAAGATGGTTCAACAGTGTGCTACATTTCACACATTCACTGGCGGGGTACCCCTGTGTGACTGAGTGTGTTTGAATAACCCCTTCTCGTATTTACATTTAGCTCTGCCGAGAAAAGGCAGCAATTGGACATGAGCGAGCTCAGAAATATGAGTCCCAACAGTCCAGCGTGTGTGTGTGTGTGTGTGTGGTTGTGTGTGTGTCTGGAGGTGGGGAGGGGGGCAGTGTTTTCCTAAAGGGTCATGTCCTTCCAGGTTTTAATATAGAGACACTGGATATGTGGACAGAGCCTCTGTGTGTTCATGTGTTAAGGCTGCTTGTTGCAGCATCGGGGCCAAAACCAGCCTGATGCTGAGTTTGTGTATCCGACAAAAACCCAGTGAACCACCGTCAGTCCTCTAAAACTGACCACGGGCACAGTTTCAGGCTCCACACAGGCACAGCTTGCCTCACACTTCATCCAGACTTGCTGTTTCACTTCATATGGTAGACAGGAGCTACCGCAAGTGAACGCGTTCTTACATAACTCTGGAAGAAGAGGCATTGTTCAGTTAAACCTGGAGGGTTTATTTTTTGCTCCGGCAGCAACAGCTTGCTTTGAATATTGCAGCGGATTGCAGTTTTGACCAAAGTTGAAGTTTAACCCAACTGCATGGTGTGTAACTGATCAGAAAAATCTTGAATTAACCTGATAAACTCCCTAAATGAGGCATGTTTCAAGCAAGTTATTGTACAGTAAACTTTATTCTCTCACGGATGTTCAAACGTTCATTCGTGACCCTGAAACCAGCAGTTTAGAAAACAATCCCACCACAAGGTCCAACAAGTAGCTGAAGCTTTCGATCATATTTGAAGCTTTCGATCATCTGACATGATCTTCATCAGTAGTAAGCAGCCGTCACAGAATTATAGACGTTAACATCTTTTTTTCTGAAGGTCTCAGCCATCATACTTTCACTTTTAGAGCAGGGATTACACCGATCTGTACCACCGTATAACTCTAGTTTTTTCGATGTAACTAAAGTGCACCATGCCAGAAGGGTTTGTATATAATAATACAATATAATAAACAGGAATGATTGATCAATACATGTTTAAAAAGGGAATGCCTATCTCTATCTAATC